ACCGCCGCTGCCCGGTACCGCCGCTGCCCGGTACCGCCGCTGCCCGGGCCTTTGGCGCCCCCTCCCGGCACAGGCGGGAAGCCGGCAGAGCCGCCGTTGTAATGACGCGCAGCGTTCTACTCCTCACGTTCTGATACACTGCGTTAATAGTTTTGTTTGCTTGCTTTTTTTTTATTTTTTGTCACCGACATACAGACATAACTTGTCCTGCAAGCATTTCTAGTTCACTGGAAGTCAACTGATTTGATCTTAGGGCTTCTTTCCCTGTCTATGGATTGGGTAAGGCACTCTTCCATAGTTTTCATAGAACTGTCTGTGGGCAGACGGTGTCGTTTTCACACATATTAGATAAAAATTCAGTAAGTTCAGCAGTAGACTGGTTCAAGTACAGTGTCTGTAACAGTGACTGATGTGTGTTCTGATTCTGTTAGGACAGAATCACTGATAGCTGTTCACATTAAAATTAAGGAAGGTCAAAAATATAGTTTCGACATTCGAATTCATTGTGCCTTTACTAAGTGGCATCTCAATATTCATTTTACCATTAACTCTCCCTATCCGTACCACACCATAAATGTGGGAGAATTCTTAATTTTCTGTCTATACTTTCATACTTGAAAAGTTATAGTTTGCTTGGCTCCAAGAACAGGGGCTGTAAAGTATCTCTTAAAGTTTCTGGATGGAGCAGTCAAGGTATGTATGGAGGAGGAAGTGAGAAAGGGAACTTCTGTGTCATCTTTGCTTTCTCTTACACATTCTAACTGTAAAATATCCTCCAGGAACAATCAAGGAAGCCATTCTTTTGGCTGGGGAGAGTTCATATTTAGTATATACATTTGTAAGCTAGGAGGTGCATTTTAGCAATTTAATTTTTAGGTAATGTTGGTGCTCTAAATTTATAATGGTGAATCAGACCAGAATTCCTCTGGAGGACTATTCTAGCGAATGCATACCAATGTCCTGTTTTCCTAGTCAAACTGTGTCTTCATCTGTGATGTGTGACACGTATCAGCTATTTGATACTCAGAGCACAGTGCAGAATAAGACACCACAGGTTGGTTAATCCCTGTTTTGTATGGTATTCTTACATTTCTCACATTACTTTGGGATCTTTACCTCAAAATGAAAACAAAGGACACTGTCCTTGTTCTAACATGGCAGAATTAAGCAAATGCATTTTTACTTTCTTGGTTTGAATAGAAAATTGTAATTGCACAGAAAAAAATAATCTAAAAACTTGTCTATGTGGTCACTTACTAGTTATTAAATTTGAAAAAAAAAAATATCCCAGGTAAGTAGCTCACATCTTGGTTAAAAATATTCTATGATGTTATTTTTTTATGCTGACTGAATAAAATAGCATAGAACAGCGTTCTATGCTCTGAAGATCCAGCTGTTCCAGTGTTACATGAGTCCTGGTGACATTTGTCACTGTATGTTTAGTAACTTCTCTCGTAATGAAAAAATGACAATACCAGCTTGTTTTGATATACAGCTTCTGTGAGGGGCACAGGTAAAATCCAGTTGTTGATCACTTCCACTTATAAGGCTTTCCAAATACTATTTTAATTTGGGCAGTGAGGTCCTCCCAATAAAATACTGTATGAGCAAGACTTGAAAAAAGTAGTTTATTTTTTCTTTTGCATATCTTGTGTTTTTTGGTCCCCAGTACATCTAGCAACCAACAAGGTCGAGATGCTTGATACACGTACTCAGCTCTGTGTTGTCTCTGTTCCAGACCTTTGATGAATGTGTGGCAGCTGGAGGTTCAGACTGTGCTCCAGAGAAACTTTGGCTTCAAATTCCATTCTTCTGTGGCCACAGCTCCGAGTGCTGGTAAGAAGACAAATGTGGCTTAAGTTAGTTGTGTTTGTCACCACTCAAATTTGATTTTAACAAATCTGAATGTGTAGTACAGTTGGGGAAAGCATGAAGAACTGGATGCAGTTCAGCAGAAGGTACTTTACTAACGTATTTTCTTCAGAAGGGGCTTTGAAAAGCATTTTACTGAAGCAGTCTTGCAGTACTTTAAAAAAGCAGCATGTTAGAATACTGTGTCAGCAGTGCCCTGAAGAAAAACAAATGATTTCATTTTTTAAACAATTATTTTTTGTAGATGTGGAGTCTTTAAATTTTTCTGTTTCATCAGGCTTCAGTATCTGTCTTTCTGAATGTGGATACTTGGTTCCAGCTCCTAAAGTCTTTGCAGAAGATGAAGTATTTGAGTTCTGGATAAATTTAGCTACTTAAACCTCTACCAGACATCCTGTAGTCAATGTTACATAGCAGTAACTGGAAGAAAAGCAAATAGTGTCCATCTGTCAATACTGATGTTTTATAACAATGGCCCAGACTTTAAAGAACTGTTCAGCAAACCAAAATTAGAAAACTGCTTGCTCACATAAAATAATTGCATTCTAGTACTATGTAACAGACAAAATAGTAATATATGAAGAAATAAAACTAACACAAAAGTGATTTGAAGGGTTCTGAGTGAAATCAAGGAGAATTATTTATCACAGTTACTGTTCATTCAAATGGAATTAATTTATCAGAAGCAAAGCAAGTGAACACTTGGGAAGTTATTTTTCAGTGCCTGTTGGTCAGACAGGTGGACAAGCAGGGAAAGAAAGAAGGAAATATGAAGCTATATTTTTCACCGTGACTAGAGCTATAAAGGGAGGAATATGTTAGTTCAATTTCTTTGTTCCTCGATGGGGAAGTCCTCCCATTACCTACAGTGACTTTCTAGTACACAATTAGGCCTATAGGATGCAAGAGGGAAGGTGTATTCTTACCAGAATCGTTTGTGGTATCCAATGTGAAAGTGAAGAAAATGCAAATCCTCTGAAAATTGCAGTAGTAGAGACAGTAACTGCATACCATGCACTGTGAAATTTTAGATGCGAGCACAGGTAGTAGAAAGGGGGAAGGGAAATAAAGGTAGAAATAGTTGGATCTCACCTTTCTTATATAAGAAATGTCCAGTTATAAAGTAATCTTCATCTAGGGATCAAGGATTGTTGGCTTACATCAGAACTTGTTGTTATTGTCCTCTGCCATTTTAGGAATGTGGGGAGCAGATGGGCTTTGGAACAAGCCAAGTACAACCTGATTAATGAATACTTCCTCGTGGGAGTTACTGAAGAGCTTGAAGATTTCATCATGTTATTGGAGGCAGCTTTGCCCCGGTTCTTCAGGGGTGCCACAGAACTGTACCGGACAGGTATTTAAATGGTTGATTTCTATAGCCCTTTTATCTTCATCACTGTTTAAAATGTGAATTATTTAAATCTATATAAATAGTTTTAAAAGTCAAGGAGGTCTGCCTCTCAGTTGAATGATGTTCCTGTGGAAGAGAGGAGCTCTTTAGAGAAAACACTCTGTCTTACACAATTTGTAACACTGAAGATTGGGGTAAAAGCAATTGTATCAGGTATGCCACATTTGCAAGTCACAGACACTCACAATATATACTTAGGAAATTGGGGCAGATGTTTGTCAGAACACTTTTGAAAGGTCTCGCTAGGGTTTCAGTTATGTGAAGTGGTTGGTAGTGGAAGATTTCTGTTCCCTACGAAGCCCTGTTGAAATTCTGTTCTTGGTACAACCTAGTTAACTGTGCAAAATGAGTTTTGTTTTAGAAGAGTTTTCATTTCAAAAACAGCAACCAAAAAACACCTGTGCTCAAAATGAAAATTCAGATCTTCAAGTAATGAAGTGGAAGAAAAATGAATTTTAAACACAAAAACAGATGTTTTTTGTTCAAGTGGCTTCCTTAAATTTGTTCTTATTGCAGTGATTTCAAAAGCTGAAGTAATTTCTCTTTAGCTCAAACATTCTAAAAATCAGTCACTGATAATGCAGAAGAAGTTTTGCCTCTGGATAATTTAGTTAAGGAAGGCCAGGACACAGAGAACAAAATGATATCACGTAAACTGTGAAAAGTTAACGTGAAAAATTCTACGCATCGTATTGAGAAACAGTGAGTTTTGTGGAGAACTCTGAATGCTGTTATACAGTGTGTATCGTAGGATTTCTGTGTCAGACTGAAGATCCATACAGCTCATGAATACTTGAATACTTAAAGCTCAGTATCTGGTTTCTGGAGGTGGCCGTTGGCTCACGCTGGCAGAAACATGTAAGAATAGGACAAGCATATGACAGTCATCACTACTGGTTATCATCAGATCCCAACAGCGAGCAAAATGCACTTTGGTGGGTAACTTTTGTTCTTTGGAGAATTATTCTTCCATCAGCTGACTTTTAAAAAGTCCTCGGAAACTTGCCACAGCACTGACAAGAATCTTGGGGGCGGGGGAAAGTCAGAAAGAATTCTGACCTGAGTCCTTTCTTCTGTTGAAACTATTTTACATCTTTGATTGGCTTTGTTACTTTGCTCTGCACCTTTTGCCAGCACACAAACTGCTGTCCTTCACACAGTATTTGCAGTTTAGGTTCTCTGTGATTTTATTTCTTTCTACATGAAAGCGTTCTCGATGCAAGATCGTTTTGTTTCCCAAAACCATTGGATTACATGGGATACAAAGGTCCAAGTGCTTCTGTCATAATGAGATGTGTGTTATATGGATAAAAGCTCACTTCCTAGGAGCTGGCTATGCAACTTATGTAGGATTGACAAATTTAATACAATTAAATTTAATATAAAACAACAGATAGCGCTTCTTAAAGAAAGTACTGTCATCACTTTTGTCATCTTTCTCTAATGAGAGAAGTATCTGGCTCTGCAGTTTGTAAAACTCTTAACATTTGATACCAGATTAACATCTAAATAATTAATTTTGTAGGACTAATCTTGCTCCAAGTACATTACGTGAAGTAATCCTGTTCCTTGAATGAAATGTTCATTCGCTGGGTTTATGAGGCTAAGAAGAAAGAATTGTAAGAACTGATTCAAAATTCATTAACATGTAGTGAGAGACTGCAATGTTCCAGCCCCACATATTGTGTTAATCAACTCTGGATTAAGTTGTGTCACTTCTAGTGCAGTTTATCAGCGTACTGAGAGTGTAAAACTCTGTAAATAAAAGGACTGTTTACATTTTTTCATCACGTGAACTTTAAAGTGAAGTTATTGCTTTCATTTTGCATTTAGGAAAGAAGTCTCATCTTAGGAAAACAACTGAGAAAAAACTTCCCACAAAAGAAACTATTGCCAAGCTACAACAGTCTGAAATCTGGAAAATGGAGAATGAGTTCTATGAATTTGCACTGGAGCAATTTCAGTTTGTCAGAGCACACGCAGTTCGGGAAAAAGATGGAGAATTGTATATCCTGGCTCAAAACTTTTTCTATGAAAAGATTTACCCTAAATCAAACTAAGAACATAATACTTTTAGATTTACGGACCTAAATCTTTGGTCACATCATCATCTTAGTCCTCAGCCATGGAAACTAGATTGCTTGTTAGACCTCCAAGATGTTTCTCTATAGGTCCAAGAAAAGCGGGCTGTGGATCACCTCCAGGGCGTTGGATACTAACCATGTTGGTAATCCAGAAGCAAAAGCTTCGTGTCTTTTATCTAACTAATACTTTCAGTGGGAGTTAATACCCTTTACCTGAGGAAATCTTCACTTTAATTTGGAGCAATTAACACACAGCAGTTCTAGTTGAAAATATAAAGGAAAAAAAAAAGCTTCTGTTAATGCTCTTTTTTAATTTTCAGAGCAATTTATTTTCATTTATACTTCTGTGAAGAGGAAGTCATTTTTCCCAGCTTTCAACATGGAAATCTTGGTTGTATACTATATGAGTAGTGTTAATAACTGGTTGACATCTGTGCTTTGTTTTTGTGAATCATGTCACATGATATTGATTGGGATAGTTAATCATGTTCTGCTGAGAAATGCTGCTGCCGCTGGAATTGCCCGAAATTACGACTAATTGTTAGTGTTAAAACATCATTTCCACATCAATATTGTAAAAAGTTAAAGAATCAGCAGTGGGATTTTTTTTGTTGTTCTGTAGGCCCACCACCACTTGACCGAGGTTGGGAAAACTGCAAGGAAAGTTGGTTTTGTCTGCAGTTAGAGTCAATACTTGCACAGTGGTATATAAATAACAAAATCAGCATAAAGTTCCTCTATGGATTCTTTGTAATTATTGTAAGCTGAGGTATTGGTGAATCCATATTATGACTCCATTAGTGAGCTGTGGTATGGTTAGGGTTTTCCTACTACTTCAATACTTTTACCTGTAGAATATTTTTACTAAGGTGCTTTATAATGTGTTTTAAAGCATTGCATTTACAAAAGGAGTAAAATGCTGTAAATACTGCTTATTTTATGTATTTGGACCAAAAGGTTTAAAGTAACTAGTTTGAAGTGGGTTTTTTTGCACCAGTTCTGTTACGTGTAAAGTAAAAAGACATCACATATACTTCCTGGTTGAGTTAACTGTTGGATATTGCTGGAATGCACTTCAGTGACCTCTATGACTTTAAAACTAGAATGTCATCCAGGGATTCTCTTTACAGAAACGTAGCATTCATCCTTTTGTTATATTAAGAGGAAAAGAAGAAAAATGTGATGTGTAGTCTGGTTGAGAAAGATGCAGTGAACTTGACATATTTGTGTTTATGTAACTGCCTTATGTGACTATTGTAAATCTGTGAGTTGCCGTTATTAACAGTGTGAAACACCTGGTAGATCAAGTAAATTGAAATTTGAGAACAGATGTTTGGGGCCACTGCATTATAGCAAACGGCAGTGGAGATCTATAAGAATTTGTTTCCTATTGGATTTTCTTAAATATGAGTATTTACACATCTTACACCTGCCTTTTCTTAAAGTGCTTTTCATTGAGTTTGATAGGAGAGAAGGCACAGAGGAGACAAAGTTGAGTAAAAAAAAAAGGGGGGATTGTAAGGTTTTGATTCCTAAGGGATGATGCTGAAAGGCTTAGTTTGAAATTACCAAGTGGAGTTTCTTTAGCCAGCCTGTTCTTGTAATGAAAACAAAAGTAATGGAAAATGTCTGTGAACTGGGTATCTGCAGCCAAAAGCAACAGTCCAATAACAGACAGGATAATGAGGGACTGTCAAGTACATCTTGTGTTTTCTTTGTTTTCTTGGGTTTTCTTTTTGAATTTCAGAAATAGACCTCATTGTTCTTCCCAAGTAATCAGGGAAGTTCCTTCTGGTAGCTTACCATTTATATAGTGTGAACCCTGCATAAGATTTCCTGTTCCAGTTCTTTTCAACTGATGTCGTTAATAATGCCAACATGCTTGAGAATGTGTTCACACATGGAAACATGTATCCTAGCTAAAGAAAGGAGCTGAGGAGTCCTACGTAGGAAGTAGCAAATGGAGATCTAAAAACTTTCAAAAAAAGTTACTGCTTTATTATAAAATCAAAGGAATATTTACAATCCCAGTGAAGGTTATCTACTAAGTGATAGTTCTATTTTGGATGAATTGACTACCTTGTTTTCCTTCATTATGATTTGGATTGGTTTATCTTCTTGAGTTGTCTGCAAATTTTTTCAGAAGAGCACCTTCTTAAGAGAACAGAAGCTTTACTAAGTGAAAATATACAACACTCGCCTAAGTAATGAAAAAGGTATTTATGCAAATACATCTGTATTGACAAGAAAACAATAGGCAAAGCCTATTCGATATATAGAAGTCTTCTATTTCATAAGCAATTTTAAAAGTTTTTTTTCTTTTTTCTTTCTTTTTTTTCCCCCTTGGATTTAAGGTTTCTTAAAGGAGTCTTCAGTAACAGTTAGAAGAATACATTTTATTTTTTAATTCAAAGAGCAATATATTTTTCATAGTTCATATAAGACATTTGATTTACTTCCTGTTCTTTGCTGTGAACTGACAGGGTGAAGGCAAACGAGCTTAAATATTTTAAAATAATGCTAGCTACAAATGGAGAGGTAATCATTTTAGGTGTGCTCTGAAAACCTTACTGCCTGTGGAACACGGAAAGGAGGCAAATGGTCTGCTTTTATATCTTGTGCTGCCATCTAATCAACTGTGAACTTTTTTGGACTCTTTTGAAATGAGAACTGTCCAAAGCAGAAAGTTTAGGAAAATGAGCTTTAACAATTATGAATAACCTGCTGTCTGTTGGTATTAAAAATATTTTGCAGCATATGAACAGAATTTATCTTGTGCATTTCCCCTTAAAGAGTTAACATGAAAAGCAGCAATATGTAGACTTCTGTTACTGCAGGTTCATTAGACTTACTATGCAGCCTCCTGAACACAGATCTTTTAACTGAAGTCACTGCAGACTCTGCATAGGAGTGAGATTTGATTTTTGCTGGGCTAAGTTCATTTGAAAGGAGCTGAAATGCTAAAAATTATAGTTGAGAGTAGATCCTGTTACACTGTTCCGTACTTTTTGTACAAAGCAAACATTCAGATTTTGTGCAAAATTCTACCCTGTTGAAACTCACGGTTGTCAGTATATGGCACTTGGTTCAGCTGTGCTAACAACTACATAGCCATAACTCCAGCATGCCTGGAGCACTTGAGATATACTGGGCAGTGCTGACAGGAGAGCAACAGTGTTCTTTACTCCTTCCCATAACAATTCTGCATCCACGCAACAAGAATTTCATTCCTGTTTTCTTGTGCATCTACAAGCAGACATCTACAAGCAGTTCTAGGGTGTAGGATGTCATGTGTGTACATTCCAGTTCACTCTGGATTTATTTTCGTATAGTCTTTAATGGTGTGATCATAGCTTCATTTTCAAACAGGCACAAAAAAGGATTGCTATACAAGTATGACAAAGGAAGAAGCAGTTCCTCCAGGTTTGAAATGCCTTTTCTCTGGGTACTTTACTTTTCTGAAGATACGTGGCTATTTTTGTGTTCCAGGAATATTCGTTTCCTTGTTCATGATCTCAGAGCTGTCCTATTTTAATATCAGGGAAAATTCAGTTGTTTTCTGCTATAATTCTGTTAACATTTTCCGTTAAGATTACCTAGTGTTGCTAAATGAGTATGTGACAAGAGTTATATAGATGATCCTGACTGAACTGTGCTGCTTTGCAGTCAGTGGAAAAACCTGATTCAAATGCACTGCCAATTTAGCTCTTCAAAATCAGAGCTTATTTTATGACTACTGGAGATAAAGAAACTGTGGCGCTACTGAGTTGCATGGATGCATCCTTTACTTTAAGCCTATGCAACTGGGTAGCCTCTGCAGCAGTATTTATAGGAAGAGCCCTCTTCATGGAGACTTTTCTGGAGCATAATTATAAATGTTTATACCCTTGTACTGTCTTGTATCTACATCAGCAGCTTTCTGTAGCTTCTGTAAAAAAAGAAAAAAGAAAAAAGAAAAAAAAAAGGCAGGTTTGTGAGCATTTCTAAAGTAGTACTGAATGTAATTTTGAAAAACATGGATTGTTCTTCATGAATCTTTTCTTTTTAAATACACACACAGCTAAATAGTGCCTTTTTTCCTCACAATCCATGTTGAAGATGCTCGCTCCCTCTCACTCTCCGTAAATTGATTCGTTTGTGCAATACTATTCCAACTTGAAACCATTTTGTCACAGCTGTTTGAGAAATAATCTCCATTTTTCCTTATTATGCTGCCAGCTTTCTGTTGTTGAAGTGTTTCAGTTGATTACCTAATGCAAATGCTCTAAAATAAAACGCCCAGTGGGAAGGGGAAAAAAAAGAAGTCTGGTGTCCTGTCTTAATATTTGTGTGTTACATTCACGCGAAATGATCTTTTTCTGGAACATTGTCACGCAGGATCCTGAACTTCATTTGAAGCTATTGTGGTGGTGAAGGGGAGGAGTGAGCTGCAGTGTAGTTCATCTGTAATCACTTCATATGGCTATAACCAAATACATTTACAAATAAGCCTTTAGAATTTTCACTGGGCTTTCTGGCCAGAAGTATAATAACTTTCCAGAGGATATATATTGTGCAGGAAGTGTCAATGAAAAGTTGTTTAATACTAAAATGGAACAGAAAATTGGCATTAAAACAAGGGATTGGTGCATACCTGCTTCTCTGCCTCCGAGAACAAACGACGTGACAGATGACTGTGGGACTGGAAGATGCTCCGTTACTGCGGTGATGAGTGCGGTGTAAGAACTCGAGCAGAATAGAAATGTGGTTTGCATTTGTAGGCAAGCACTTCAAACAAGAAAATACAGTGAGCGTGGGTACAACACTGTTTAGGATTTCTTCTGTGTACTGTAAACATGACCCTATAAACATTCCTTACTGCATGCACTATGGAGCTGAACAAATCTCTGTCCCAGCCAAGTTTCCTAATGCGATAGTTCCTAAATATTTGGTTGTCAGCTGTGATGATTACGAGCCGTGGTGCAGTTACTCAGCATCTTCCTCTTGAGGATTCTGCAAACTTTAAAATCCTACTTTTGTTGCAAGTAGACTTTTCCTTGCTGCTCCTGTCACTGGAGGAGATAAGTGTAATTGCTGTGTAGGAAACAAAGACTCTGCTTCTGTCAGCCAGTGGGAAGTGAAGGAAGAAATTGCCTCGCATATATAAAGGATGTTCCAAGGTCACCACGCCTTTTTCTGAAATGATGTAGTAAACAAAATGACAGCCAACAAAATTCACAGTGCAAACAATCTTTTATTTAAGATGACAGTAGTTGCTCCTGTGAAAGCTGAAATGATGGTGGTGTTACAGATAGGAGTTAAGTACTCACTGAACCTCTTTTTTTTTTTTTTCTTAACTGATGCTGCCATTTGCACGGGTAATTAATCTCATCAGTTAGAGTTCATGAGAGGCGAGTGAAAGAAGGGAAGATTTCTGCTTGTTTTTCACAGCCAGATTTTTTTGAAGGTCTTGTATTTTTGTTTCATTATTTACCGTTTGAGTCTTGCATTTTATTTCAGTATTATTTCCTTACTTAATAAAATACAAGAAGTTGCTAGTGAATGTCAAAGCAATGTCCAGATGTTTTCTTCAAGCACAAGTCCCCTGCTATGACCTCCCCCTGGCTTCATTACCACATAACGCAGATGTGGTAACTTTCAATAAGAGCTAATTTAAAAGACTAATAATACTCTTTATTAAAAAAAACCCTCTACAAAGAACACCTGTGGCCTAAAAATGAAGGCTTTGAGACCTTTCACCTTGTCATAATAACCAACTGCATCCTCATAAAAATGGAAAATACTGTGATAAACATTCTCTGCCCACTCTCTGTGTATTTACAAGGCTTGTCCTGAATACCAGTCTGATTTGCTGCACTCAGGCATTAATTACTTTTTTTGTAATAAACGTGGATCCCAAAATAATTGCATGGAGAACAATTACCCATCTTCTTATTTTAAAAATATGTAAAAATAAAAATCTCAGAGCAAAATAGATTAAAATAGTGACTGAAGGGAATTGGGGTTATAGCTTAAGTATAAAGGTATCACATTCCTCTGATATTTTAAGAAAAGGAATGCTACCTTGCTGATAGATGCATATGTTGATCAGCCCATAATTAATATAAACTCTGTTGTTTTGAATAAGAAAGCATTGTATTTCAAATAAATTCAGCATTATTAAGGCAACGCACTTTTCTATTTTGAGAGAGAAGCACGCCTGCTTTGGTGTGAAAATTTAAATGCCCTAATTGAACCAGAACTTTTGGACCTGATACAGCAGTTACTGGAAAGTATTAACTGTCTCTTTAAAAAGAAAAAAAGTCTGAAGAATAATGCTTTTCTGGCCCTAACGGCATTATTGTCTTGACAAATATTGATTACCATTTTTAGCACAGTGTAGAATTTGGCATTCTTAATCTCCTTTATTTAGAATTTAATAACTTAAAATGTTGCATGATGTGGAGAATTGGCAGGGGGAAAAGGAATGCTTGACTGTTGGAGACGCATTCAGTTATAGGCTGGCTCTATCAAGCCTGCCTCTGGGCCTTATGTAATGGCAACTGAATAGATGGGCAGCAGTTCTGTAGAGCAGTCAATATGGAAATAAAAGGCATCTGTGAAGATAACAGTAAAGAGCAGAGAGGAAAGTGTAGGCAGATATCTAAACCACAATATGAGATTGCAGCCATTCTAACGTTAACAGCTAAGATGGCTATCTTTGGACTAATTATCTGCTTTGGATCTTCAGTTCCTTCCCTAGACTGAATGAATGCATTCAAGGTTGCCACCATCAAGGCCATTGCTATTATAAGCAAGGCTTGCACACTGACAAATGAAATCTCCCCTATTTATAACACCAGTCCAAGTACCTTTATCCAGTACTTACAGCTAAGCTATGGCTCTGGAAAAGCAGATTGTGCTGCCCAGGAGTCCCGTCTGCTCTTCAAGTGTGATCGTTGCTTCTTGGAAGATGAAATGGTCAGTAATGGCGTGGTGTAAGTCACATCCAAGAAGTCTGGAGGAAAGCATTTCATGAAGCAATAATTAAACACTTTTTCTTGGTGTCCATTCAGAACAAGTTCACTGTCTCAGGCAGATTCCCGCCAGACATCTGTTAATACTAAACGCTACTGCTGAGAGATGGTTGGAAACCTGAGGTTTACTTTCAGCAAAAATTACTGTACACAGTGCTTTTTCTACAAAGACTTCTCAACAAATGTTGTGGATTGCTCTTTTTTCCTAAGGCAAAAGGGGAATTTTTACATCAAAATCAGAGCAAAACAGGAAAATTCCAGTACCCCTTCCCACCTCAGCAAATTCTTTTTCAGTGCTTTTTTTTTTCCCCAAGTGAATGGAAAAATGTGAGAGTATGCCATCTGCATTCTGCCTCTTCCTTTTCTCAGCTGGCTCTGGGAGGTGCTGCAATTTGTTCACAAGCCTTCCTAAGGACAAGTCTTATCTCACAGGTATTGTTGCAAGACATGAGGTCAAACTCCAATAGCGGGTTTATCAAACTTTGTGTTTGCTCAGGATCACCTTTGAGAGTAGTAGTGGCAGCAGAGCTCCCTATCCTGTGTGTCAGGCAATGCTTGCTGGTTGTGCTGAACTCTGCTGAGCACCAGTGAGCACGCACACAGCCCCTTGGATGTGTTTCCATCTGATGGTCACTTAATTCAGCAAGAATTTTTAACTGCACTGTTTGTTTGTTTATTTATTTATATTAGTCTTTGTGCAGGACAAGAGCATGACAAGCTTAGAATCAGACTGCTATGGGCAGGTTTTATTAACAAAAGTTTTGAAGCTGGCTTTTGTAGCTGTAAGCATTTTGGTTCTGTAACCCCTCATCTCCAATTCACCCAGCCAGAAACGTCTTCATATTTATGTATGTGTATATATCCATGTATCTACGCATATATATTCATAGTTCTTATTCCTTGATCGCTCTGGAGAGCAAATTACAAACCCAAAGAGTCATATTCAAAGACCTTTTTTGGAAGCCAAGTTTGAAAACATTGTCAGCAGCCAGGAGGATTAAAGCATGCCTAGACAGATGCTCCATTGCATTTCAAAACCAACTTTGTGTATCCGAAGCATCCTCTCTGCACCTGTTGAGCAATGCAGCTTGGGTTTTACTTGGTTCTAGTACCTAGGAAACAAATTTGAAAGATCTTCCTCCTGTGAAATATAGTCAAGTTTATTGCTCCTTTAGTCTTTTCCAGGACGACTGTATACGTTGTGACTGAGAGCATGGAGAAATGCTGATGTTGCAGTTAATTGTAGATATCGTCATGCTTATTCAAATGTATTGCAGCATTTTATGTTTTGCTTATGCAGGTTGATTTAAATTCATCAATTTTCTTGCATTTTCTCATGCATCTGGGAGAAGTCTTGTTTGACATCCGGAAGTGCTTTCTGTGTTGATAGACTGTCCTCCATGCCAATCTCATTATGTTTATCCAATTTTGAACAGTGATAACTGGAAGTATTGTCACCTTGCTCCAAAGTTGCTCTGCAAAGAAGAACCTGGCGGTCCTGGTAGATGAGAAACTGGACACGAGCCAGCAGTGTGCGCTTGCAGCCCAGAAGGCCAACTGTGTTCTGGGCTGCATTAAAAAAGGGGAGGTCAGCAGGAAGAGGGAGGTGATTGTCGCCCTCCACTTGGCTCTTGTGAGGCCTCATCTGGAGTACTGCATCCAGGCCTGGGGTCTCCAGTACTGGAAGGGCGTGGAGCTCTTGGAACAAGTCCATAGGAGGGCCACTAAAATTATCTGGAGCACCTCTACTATGAAGAAAGGTTGAGGAAACTGGGCTTGTTTAGCTTGGAGAAGAGAAGGCTCATTGTGTCTTTTCAATACTTGAAGGGACCTTATAAACAGGAGGGGGAACAGCTGTTTAAGGTGGATAGTGATATGACAAGGGGGGATGGTTTTAAACTGAGAGAGGAGAGGTTTAGGTTAGATATTAGGAGGAAGATTTTCACTCAGAGGGTGCTGACACACTGGAACAGGTTGCCCAAGGAGGCTGTGGATGCCCCATCCCTGGAGGCATTCAAGGCCAGGCTGGATGTGGCTCTGGGCAGCCTGGTCTGCTGGTTGGCGACCCTGCCCATGGCAGGGGGGTTGAAACTAGATGACCACTATGGTCCTTTTCAACCCAGAACATTCTTTGATTCTATGCTGTGGAAGGCAGGAAATGGGAATTGGGTATCATAGGCATATTCTAATTCTTGAGTCTATGATATTCCATGGGTAGAAGCAATGCAAAGTTAGTGTTGGGGTAACACTATTTGGCAATTTTTCAAACATGGAGCTTGAATTGAGATTTTTGTTGGGTTAATGTAGTTATCTAACAAACTGAATGGTTGGTTGGTTGGTGGTTTTTATTCAGGTTGAGCAAAAACCAGAAACTTTCTAGGAAACTAAACTATCTAGTTTCAGTGTTGTAAATATTAACAACTGCCCACAGTTTGGCATCTGAATTCATAATTGTTGGCTTTACTCTTGCAAAACCAGCCAGAAAAATGTTTTCTGTCGCTCCTGCTTCTTGTTATGGAAACACATTTCCAACAATTTTTTAAAAGTCATTTCCTCTCCACATTCTCTTTTGTAATCACATCTGCAAGAAAAATGTGAGTTGGGAACATTAATCATTTGGGAGTCTTGTATCTAAGTCTTTGAAGACAAAGTGCTGCTTCTGCTGACTGTAGACTTTTTTGCCCGGGGTGGTTTCCTCTTTCCACCTAAATCAAAAAATCCCATACTGCTGTTCTCCCAAATCAGGCAGAGGGGAGTGAGAACCCTAAAGGAATAAATAGCTGGTTTTCATATGATGTCACTGCCATAAAAAAGCAGGCCAGTAACAAAATCTTGAAGACTTTGAGAATCATTGTTAAAGCAATATAAATGAAAAACAAAGCCAAATCTTCCACCTGCTCAAAGCTGCAGCAGAAAACCCCCATCACTTAAAAAAACAAAAACAAAAACAATAGGATTCCATCCACATTCTGCAGTTTGGCTTCTAAGCTGCAACAACCTACACATCGCTCACTGTAAGACATGCTAAGTTTTATTAGCAGTGTTTGCTCATGCCCCCAATTTCTGTGAAGAATATGCAACTTACGAGCAAAAGTGGCTGGTGGGCGAAGGCTTTTCTCCTGAAAAGCACAGAAAAGATTACCTGTGAAATATATCGGTGTTTGCTTCTAGGAATGGTCATTTTCCAGTTGGCCACTGACACACAGCGTAAGTGAAAAGTTTAAGCAGCTTCCCTGTCATTACTCATCAGAGATAGATATTTCACTCAATGCACACGATGTAAGTAGACTAACACAGATGCAGTGCATTCCTGCATCTTTTACATTTCATTCTTCCAACCTTCTCTGGGCATTTGTTGTCATCATCATCCATCTGTTAGAGAGAAGACTCTCCATCAGGTAAGAGCTATCTTTTCCTACCAGGAGCAGCATGGATTCTTGTTCTTTGCAGAT